CATTTATTACCCGTGCCTAATTGCCTTTGTGAAGCCCTTAGTAAGCAGTTACATTAAACTCCATGCATGATGGATCCATCCTCAGTGCTGTTAGAAAGGTAGTTCCAGAAGGGATGGTCATGTTGTTGTAAGTCAGAATGGTGTGTGCCAAGGAGGGGAATTGCAGGTGATCCTATTCCATAACATGCTGCTCTTGTCTTTCTAGGTGGCAGTGTTCCAAGCTTGGAAGGTGCTGATGGGGGAGCTTTTGTTTGTTGCTGCAGTACATCTTGTAGGTGGCACACACTGCCACTGTGTGTTAGTTGTCAATGGTGTGCCAGTCAACTGGCACTTTACCCTGGATTGTTTCAGGCCTCTTGAGTGATGTTGGAGCTGCACTCATTCAGGCAAACTGAGAGTATTCCGTCACACTCCTGACTTTACTTTGTAAATTGCGGGACAGGCTTTGGGGTATTTCAAGGTGATTTATTCATCACCAAAGTCCCAAACTCTAAACTGCTCCTGCAGTATTTCTAGGGTTGGTTCAGTTGAGTATCTGGCCAATGGTAATCGCCAGGATATTGATAATAGGAGAATAGAATAGAATAGCGGAGAAGTGCATGGGACTCTGAAAGGGAAGATGGAGAATCAGTTGGTGGGAGTAGGGATTCTTCTCAAGATGTCCTCACTTTGCAACCCTCAACCTCTTCTCCAATAAAGACAACTGAGAAAGCAACATTCTGACCAGCAGAAAAGTCAACCAAGTATCACAGCTTATAATAACTGCTGAAGGAAAGATAAACTGGTTTTCTTCAGATTTAAAGTGGGTTTGACTGTAGTGTACAGAGAGACAGCTCCTGAGCTGTGGAGATCAAACCACTTCTCTATCTATCTTGTTCCCAGATCCAAGCTGTTCAGTTACCTGAGAATCACCCTCATGGTTGTTGGCAGACAAAAGGCAGTTGTCTTCGATAACTGGTCACTAGTCCATAGATCAATCAACTTCTTGTCACCCAGTTAGTATCTGTACACCAAGATCCTTGGCTCTAGTTCATCTACAAGCCAAACTTCAAATACTGCTTGTTCAAACAGCTGTTTACACAGTGCTTGCTGTAAGTGTTAGCCTGCTTGCTTTTCAGAATGTGCAGCAATCCTTTAAAACACTGGTTCTAAGACAGTTCTTTCTAATTTCCACCCACAATTTTAAAACAGTGCAAAAATAAAAGGACAATCTTTACAAAAGAGCATTTGTTATCTTACAAGAGTATTATTCGTATAGAATATCTAAATTTTTATATATGCAGAATGTCTGTTGCTTGTTACAGAGTGGAAATGCACTTTAATACAATTTGTAAAGGACTCTGAGACATACGTTGTGAACACAATTATTGTCATAGCTTTCATTTTGGAATGCATTCTCGAGAGATCACTGGTGGTGCATGGAGTAATAACTCAACTTTTTTTACCTGCATAATTTATCAAATTTGATTGTGACCTAAGGGAAAAGGAGAATGTTTAAAAAAAGGCATCCATTTTGTAAGAGAGCATGCAGTGTCAATTTCTCTTAGGAATCAATATGGAAACTCTTTTTCAGAGAATTTTTCTGCGCAAGTCATTCCTAAGTTAAATCTCTTCAATAATACTATACAGTCTTTTCAATCTCCTCTTGGCTAAGGCAGAGTAAAATGTCTTTGTTCAGCCTTCTGTGTTTTATTTGTGCTGTAAACCTAAAGGGTATGCATTAAAATTATTATGTAGATCCTTTTTCAGAATAGGTTTGTTCTATAAATTGGCACTTAGGCATTGAGAATATTATTAATTTTCTTTGATAAATGCTTGCCTTTAATGAGTTAAGGGGATTAACTGTGCTTCTCTGAGGGAGAGGAAGAAATATGGAAACTATTTTCAGAAAATACTTTGGTCAGCAGCACTATTTCTTTTGTTAAGCAATTATGTTTTGAAAAGAAAGAAATTTCATGGTTTCTGTACTGGTGAAGTATTGTTCAAATTTATGATGTGGAATGCAGAACAGTCAGTAAGATTTTTTAAAGCTCCCAATTTTCTAAGTTAAATGATAAGTATTTAATTATGATGCTCCCAGTTCTCATGGCGAGGGCAGGTTTGTCAGGGGTCTGGCAGGAGACAGGTTTAGCCAAAACATGGATTTGACCCAGTGCTGTTGATCTAATTCTGGAACACATTAACCACTATCCAACTGAGCTAACCAACTCAGCAGTATGTTCCCATGTCTTCATAAAAATAACAAATAGCTTAAAATTGATTGTATTTGTTAACTGTTGATTAGTTTTGAGTCAATAAATGTGGAGCTGGAAAAGCACAGCAGGTCAGACAGCATCGAAGGAGCAGGGAAGTCAACATTTTGGGCCGAAACTTTTTCAGGACTGGGGAGGAGGTAGGGAAGCTCAGAAATACATAGAGGTGGGGTGGTGGGGTAGGAGGGAGGGTAGGTGAATGCAGGTATGGGGTTATTGTGGTCAGTCAGTGCAACGGGTGGAGCGGATAGGTGATTCAGAAGATGGACAGTTTGGGGGGAGGAGAGATTTTGAAGCTGGTAAAGTCAATGTTCAGGCCATTGGGCTGTAAGCTCCCAAAGCAAAGTATGAGGTGTTGTTGTTCCAGGTTATGTTTGGCCTCACTCTGATAGTGGAGGAGGCCAAGGATGGGCATGTCAGCAGTGGAGTGGGAGATGACCTAACCTCATCTACTGTATCCATTTTTCTCAATGTGGCCTCCCATATATGAGGGAGACCAAATGCAGACTCGGGGACTAGTTTGCGGAGCATCTGCGCTCTGCACACACCAACCAACTCGACCTTCCGGTTGCATCCACTTTAACACCCCCTCCCACTCCCCTGGTGACATGTCCATCCTTGGCCTCCTCCACTGTCAGAGTGAGGCCAAACGTAAACTGGAGGAACAACACCTCATATTTTGCTTTGAGAGCTTACAGCCCAATGGCCTGAATATTGACTTCACCAGCTTCACAATCTCTCCTCCCTCAACCTGTCCATCTTCTGACTCACCTATCTGTTCCACCCTTCCAACTGACCAACCACAATACACCCCTACCTGCATCACCAGCTTCAAAATCTCTTGGTGCCTGATAGCAATAATGTAAGTCTGTAACCCCATGGGAGATGGGCTTGACTTCACTTATGTGCTAGATACTTAAGGGATAAAGTGTTCTTTTAGATAAGACTTGAGTATATTTAACCTGCTTATAGAATAAAAGGTCTCCCCTGAGATTTCTAATTTCTGAAGATAAAGGGTGATAGGGGTTTACATCTCTCCTACAAGCAGCAGTTGATGTTGAATCAATACATTTTGTTGAATCAATGTTGAATCAAAACAGTACAGTTTGGGATTGATTGATAAATTTCTGTACACCAAAGTTATTGAGGCATATGTGCAAAGCTGAATGTATGGACTTTCATCACAGATCAGTGATAAAATTACTGAATAGTGGCGCAGGCTTGGGAGGCTATATGGTCCATTCCTGTTCAAATCTTCCATATATTTTCCGTTATTGTATAGTGACAGCTGATGGCTTTCACTCAAACCAGATTTTCCAACTGTTGAATATGAATAATGAGGCAACGTTATGGACAATGTTGTGCTTTACCTTTCATTCCCCTTACCTCAAACTTAAGGGTCAGTTTCTGTGACCTAAAATATATCACCCAATTAGGCATAGTGTGTAGCACCCCTGATCGTGAGAATCAGCAAGGAAATCATAAATTGCTGGAGAAACTCAGCAGGTCTGGCAGCATCTAGAGAGAGAAAGCAGAGTTAATGTTTTGGGTCCAGTGACCCTTCTTCATAATCCTTCTGAAGAAGGGTCACCCGACTCAAAACGTTAACTCTACTTTCTTGCTACGTGCTGCCAGACCTGCTGAGTTTCTCCAGCAATTTCTGATTTTGTTTCAAATTTCCATCACCCATAGTTCTTTGTTTTAAATGAGAATCAGTACATTATTTAACTCTACATGCCACCACAACAAAATCTAATTCTGATCTCATACGAACGCCGTGTATACTCTTTCTAAAAACAGTAAATAGATCACTCAGGGTCATTGTGACAATTGTAATGTTCTTCCTGGATCTCCACCTGAAATCAGCGAACTCAGCCCTGAATGCGAATCAGTCCTGGGACCTAATGACCTGTACAGCTCACTTATACACTAGCTTGTATTTTCTGTTACCGTGAGATGGGATTATCAACTCCCACAAAATGTACCTCTAAACCTTGGCTACCTTTTGTGAAGTTGGATAAGTTCTGTAGAAGTGAACTAGAGAGGAGAGGGTCTAAACAGCTGGAATAGAAGGAAGAGCTCTCTGCAGTTCAGTGTGGCAAGTCACCTTTGTGCCGTTTGGTTATTTTTTACAAACGAATTAATAAAAGGCATCTATTATTAGGAATACAGCCAATAGTCCTCCAAAGGTTTCATGGCCATTTAAAAATTAAAGCTCCCCCTCTGTCGCTTATAGCAATGCCTGGTATTGCAGATTATCAAGCATTACTTGCACCCATTATTATGGCGCAAATGTTGAAAAATTTATCAAAAGACTTATTTGCAAAATGCCTGTCCACCAAAGGACAGGTTATTTGTTTGCTCCCCCGTCACTATCGATAGGAAACCCTTAAAATGGAGAGCAAACCAGCTCCCATCAGTTTGTGTTCAACCAGGATCTGGCATAACCCGTGCAAAAATTTCGGCCCAGCTCTTCAATGACTGAACTATTAGGGAACAAAATCATGTCTTTCATACAGAATGCAGCCCATCAACCAGGTTCCCAGCTTAGTGACTATATCAGACCCTTGTGTTAGGCACTGTTGCAGTTTGTTTTACAGCACACTGTTGCATGTCATGTTATAATAGAATCTGTTGAACTACATTCTACCTATCAGTCTGAAACAGTTTGTCTTCCAGGTAAACATACTTTAACCAGAGATATTTGGCTTTCCCTAACGTGTGAATTCTGTGTTTATCTCTCTGCAGTTGTGCCAAAGCTAAAATTACTTTGTGGAGCGGATGTTTTGAAAACCTTTGACAATCTCAATCTATGGAAGGATGAACACATTGAGGAAATAGTTCAGAAATTTGGTCTGGTTTGTATTAGCCGTGGGGATGTAGATCCACAGAAGTTTATTTACGAATCAGATATTCTCTTTAAATATCGGCACAATATCCATGTGGTGAGGGAATGGGTGCTGAATGATTTAAGTGCCACTCACATAAGACGTGCTTTACGTAGAGGATGCAGTGTGAAATACCTACTCCCAGAAAGTGTCATTGACTACATCCAACAACACAATATATATACTGCCGAAAGTGAACTGCAGAATATTAATGAGATTCTGCAGCCATTAAAAGCTCAGCACAGCATGATAAATGTGTTAAATGATTAAAGTGTAATTGATAGTTTAGTTTGTTGGAGGCAACAAATATTTTGTAATTTGTAACAAAAAATGCTGTTTGAAAATGTCATAATGGTGTGGAAGAAATGAGTTCACGTTTTAACTGTATTTCTCTATTACCACCTGAAAGCAATGATTAAATTTTATTGGGTTTAATTAATGAGGCATTTTCCAATATTGAATTAAAGTCAATGGAGATAAAGAATTGCAGCAGAGAGAATGCTGGTTTGACCTAGAGGATACATATCAAAATAGTAAACTATTGCAGCCTTTTGAGTCACTGCGATGTTGTGAGAAAAAGGGAGGAAACTACAAAGTAACTTGCTATCAAGACATTAAGATGAGTAAATATAGAACTTTGCCTCTAGTTATCCCAACATTTGCACTAAATTCATTCTTTTTATACTTCCATGGATTATGGATATCACTGACAAGGCCAAAACTTGTTACCCATTCCTAATTGACTTTGAAAAGTTGGTGATGAGCTGCCACTTTGACTGCAGCCCCTCTGCTGTAAATGCAACTACAGTGCCGTTTTGAAGGGGGTTTCAAGATTATGATCCAGTGACAGTGAGAAAACAGTGGTATTTCTGAGTAAGGATGGTGTGTGGTTTGGAGGGGAGTTTCAGTTGGTTGTGTTACCATACATCTGCTCCCCTTGTCCATTTGGGTGATAGATGTCATGAGTTTGGAAGTTGCTGTCAAAAAAGGTTTAGTAAGTTCTCCCCAGTATATCTGTGGAGAGATATATGGCTGCCACGGGGGATGAGGAGTCAATGGATATGCTGAAATAGGTGAGAAGTCGTGAGTGCTACTAATGACCGAGACAAGTACATGCAGCAAGTGTCACCAGCTGCAGAAAGTTGAACTGTGGATTTTGGTACTTGAGCACTGGATGCAGTCAATGTGGCACATTTGTGATATTGAGAGATATGTCGATAGTCTATTCAGAGAGGTGGTCACTGCAGATTAGAAGTTTGGAACTAGAAAATGAATGGGTGACCACAGGGAATCTAAGAGGAATAGTCAGGTAATGCCCTGGGTTGAAGTTACCTGGGTTCCCACCTGCGCATTGACTTCTGTTTAGGATATTAGTTCCTCAGCAGTGTACTGTCAGAGCCAATTTAATGCACGAAAGGGGACTATATTGTACAGATGAGGGGGGAGAACAAGAAAAGAGCAGTAATGATAGGGATGTGCTAGTTAGGAGAACATACAGATGTTTTTATGGCCATAGATGTGAGTCCAGGATGATATGATGCATCCCTGGTGCTGTGGTCAGACACCTCACAGTGCAGCTGCAGGTCATTCTTCTGGAGGATGGTGAATAGTTAGAGCTTGCAGTCCACGTTGGTCCATTGACTTGTGTAGGAAGGGGTTGAGGTTCTGAAAGCAGATTTCAGAGGCCTAGAAAGGAGATTAAGCAGGACCTCCAACAGCATTAATCTCAGTATTACCTCTAGTCCTATGTGAGAATAGGCTCAGGGGAATTGACAAAATGGCTGGAAATCTAGTGTAGGAGGGAGGGCTTTAGATTTTTTGCAGCTTCTGGGGAAGATGGAAAGCACCTCACGAGGACATTTAGTAGGCTGTTGGAGAGGATTTAAACTAGAGTGGCAGGAGAATGAGAACTTCTGGGCAAATGCGGGAGCAAGGAATGGGAGAGAGAAAACACGTGAGTGACTCATAGATTATTAGGCAGGGTAGAGGAGGGAGAAAAAGGCTGAAGCAGTATTATTAGTTGAAGAATCAATCATAGCTGTGAGGGAAGAGAGTATAATAACTTATCAAATAAAGACAAATGAGGCTATATTTGTTACGCTCAAGAATAAAATGGAGGTAACCACCGTACTACATGTGTATATAGATTTCAGGTAATGGGAGGGAGTCAAAGGAGCAAGTAGGTTGACCCAAATTTGAGTGCAAACACAATAGGGCACTAATAGTTTGAGATTTCAACTACTCTTGGATCAGTTAGGTAATGAACAGTGTGAATGGAACAAAGGGTACAGAATTCTTAAATTGTATTCAGTAGTACTATTTTCAGCTAGTGTGTAATAAACCCCATTGAATGACTGTGCAATTCAGATTTAGTCTTGGAAAATAAATCTGGGCAAGTGGTGAAATATCACTAAAGGGACCACTTTAGAGATAGTTACCATAACCTTGTTAGATTTGGCATTATTATGGTAAAAGAAAAGAGTAGAACAGGAGTAGAAGTTCTAAATTGGAGAAGAGTCGATAAAGGGGAACCAGCAGATGTAGCATATTTAGATTTTCAGAAGGTCTTTAATAAGGTGCCATGTAAAAAGTTATTGTACAAAATAGGAGCTAGTGGTATTGGGGGCAATGTATTAGCATGGATTGCGGATTAGTAAACATATAGAAGACAAAGTGTCAGGATTACTGGATATTTTTCAGGCAGCACAGATATAACTCATGGAGTGCCACAAGGATCAGTCTTAGAGTCTTAATTATTTATTATCTATCTTAATGAGGAGAAGAGGACAGTGTGTAATGTATGCAGATTTTTCAGTGGTACAAAAACAGTTGACAGGGCATGTTGTGATGAAGATATAAGGAATCTGCAAGGGAATATAGTTAGATGAATGAGTGAGCAAAAAAAACTTGGTAGAAACAAAATCCCATTTCCTCTAGTTGAGATATCAGTTACCAGGTGATGGGTAGAGGATTAGAGAGGACCTGAGAGAAAAGCATTTCCACCCAGAGGTTGATGGGTGTCTGGAATTTATTGCCCAGCTAAGTGGTTAAGGTGGAATCCCTCAATGCATTTAAAATGAACTTCAAACTGCACCTGATCTCTAATGTTGGAAAGTGTGACGTCATGTGCTTTGGTAGGTTGAATCATTAGACCTATTATTAAATAGAGAGAGACTCGAAAAAGGTGCAGAACTGTGTAATCAGGTGTAATTGAAACACAAAAAATTAGCATGAAGGTGCAGCAAATAATTAAGACAACAAATGGAATATTGTTCTTGATTGGGAGTTGGAGTTTAAAAACAGTGAAACCTTGTACAGGTGAGGTTGTATCTGGAGTACAGTGTATAGTTTTGGTCTCTGTTTTTAATAAAGGATATACTGGCATTGGAGGCTTTTCAAAAGCGATTCACAAGACTGTTCTTGGGATGTAGGGGTTGGCTTATAAGCAATGGCTGAACTAGTTTGGGCCTTTATCCTTCAGAGTTTAGAAGAATGAGGGGTGACCTTATTAAAACATACAAAATTCGGAGGGAGCTTGCCAGGGTAGATGTTTAGTAGATGTTTCTATCAGTGGAGTAATATCAGACCATGGGACATAGTTTTAAATAAGTGCCTCCTTATGTAGTTGATGCAAAGGAATCTCTCCTCCTAGAGGGCATTGAATGTCTAGAATTCCCTATTCCAGAGAATTATGGATCATTGAAAGTATTAAAGAGGCAGTAGATTTTTGAAATATCAGGGAGCTTCAGCTGGCTCAAAAGAAAAGTTGAGGCCTCGGGCAGATCAGCCATGATCTTGTTGAATGACAGGATAAGCTTGAAGGGCTGAGTAGCCCACGCTTCCTTATATCTCTTATGTTCTTATTACAGGAAGGACGTAATTGATCTGCTCTGGGGGAGTACAGGAGAGATTTACAAGAAGTTTGTAAAGGATTGTAAGTTGTATCTAATGAAGAAAGATTTGATTGGCTGGAGTTGTTTTCCTTAGCACAGTGGAGGCTGAGAGGTGACTTAATTGAGGGGCTACAATATTAAACAGGAAAGACCTATTTTCCCCTAACTGTGAGGTCAGTTATCAAGTCATTGGTAAAAAGATTAGAGTGGACACAAGAAACATCTTTTTTTCCACCCAAAAACTAGGGAGTGTCTAGAACCACTGCCCCAAGTGGTGGTGATAAATTCCAGTTGGGCTTTTCCATATTGCATACAGCTGCCCCTTCTTTGTTGTGGTGATGGTGGCGACAGTGAAATTTTACAGTGCTGGATGGAGTTCTGATCAAGCAAGCTAATTTGTCCTGGATGGTGTCGAGCTTTTGAGTGTTGCTGGAATCGTGCTTATCTAGACAAGTGGAGCATATTCTGTCACACTCATGACTTATGCTTTGTAGATGGTAGACAGGCTTTAGGGAGCTACAGTGTGTGGAGAATAATGAGAAGTTTACCAATTTTTACTTAGAAAAAGCAGTTTTTTTTTCAAACTAACAAGTTTTATAAATAATACTGCATTTATCCAGATATTTTCAATATTATTTAATACAAAGACAAAGAGATGCTTTTCATCTATAGTTTATTTAAATCCAAATTCACTGGTGCCATTTCATGTTGGCAATGTTATCGGTGACAATTTGAATTTGTATTTTAAATGCATTTTTATTTCAAGTATTCAAATCTCTTTACCTGACTTGTGTTGATTCACAAATTTAGCAAAGTGAATGTGATCACCATGTTTATACATGATATTCAATGGCAAAACACTGTTGCTAACTTGTAACAAGAAGCTTTTATTTTAATGTGATCTGCATTGCAGTTTTGCTCTGAGCTACATTCCTGTCTGTAACATAACATGATCCTCTTACAGAAAATCTAAGTGTAATACCGTGGAAAAATGTTAATTTTTTTTTGCCATCGGATAGAGTCAGATGAGATTCACTGGACTAATACATGCTACAGGTAATAAAATTTTTGAAAGGTAGAATGAGGCCTTTAAAAAACGGTGGCCTAATTCCTAAAGCTGAGTTGACTGGTGACACCTTTTTAATATGAGTCTCACTTCATGCCAAGTGAAGAGATGCATAATTGGTGCAGGTCAGTCCAAATTTAGATTCCCTGCATTCTTTATTCATTGTTTTGGTCTCCAAAGCTTTCAGTATAATTGAATATGGGCTGATCTTTCAACAGACTTAATTTCACAATCATGAGAAACATATGCTGGGCTGTTGATGGTACTAAAATTCAAATTATTTCCCTTGTGTTTATGGCCTCAAATTTCTTTGAGGATCAGGAATGAATTAAGGGTGTAACTGGATCAGAAAGGGGTCAGTGGGGACAGGAGTCAGGGGTGGGTGATCTGTAGCTTCAGATCTCTGCTGCCCTTTGGTTTGGTGCCCACATTTCTTCAGAATAATGGTGATAGCATACTTCTGGTTTCCATTTGCTGTCTAGATGAGCTCATGGAAAGAACCCAGATTGATGGCAGGGTGACATCATTTGCCAGTGTACGGGTGCTGTATATCAATATGAA